CCAGTGGGTGCTCCCTAACCCCCGGGGGCACTGTCAGGGGATCTGAGCCACATCTGAAGGGCCCTGGCAGGCAGGCGAGATGCTGCTCACCTGCGCTCAAGCTCCCGGCGCACCCGCGCGCCATCCTGCACCGCGTCCTCCTGCTCTTCCTCCAGCCGGTCCCGCTGGCGCTGCAGCTCCTCCTAGGCAGCCTGCAGCTTCTCCCGCTCCTCGGCCTGCTGCTGGGCCACCTGCAGGCTGTGAGCCAGGTTGCTCTTCTCCCTTCAGGACAAGGGGAGGGGAGCAGAGGGGATGCTGGGGCTGCTCCTCTAGCCATGAGCTACATCCTTCCATCTTCCAAGGCACCTGCCTCCAGGAAGCCTTCCCTGACCACCCTGCCCATGGCTACACATTTCACTCACACCCTCCAGCAGAAGAACCTGGCTTTCCTTCTCCCCAGCGCGCCCACTTCAAGTGGATGGAGGTGCTGGCATTATCTCCAAGCACCCTACCAGGTGGGCAAGGCTAGGCTCCTGGGACACGCAGGCAATTGTGCCACCAGCTCTGCTAGGCCATGTGACCAGGAAATGCCCCCTATAACACGCCATGCCCCTTAATTCTGGGAAGCCTGATAGAGCTGAGTCTGCACATCCCACAGCTTCCTGCTACATAGGCACATGGTGGCCACAGCAGGGGCGGGAGGAGAAGGCAGCAACTGGGACCCCAAAGACTTGCTGTGAGCTGCCACTTTCCTCACTGGCAGTAGGTGCAAAAAAACTTCACGACATGATTTTTTTTTTTTTTTTTTCCTGAGACGGAGTCTCACTCTGTCACCCAGGCTAGAGTGCAGTGGCATGATCTCCCCTCATTGCAAGCTCCGCCTCCCAGGTTCACGCCATTCTCCTGCCTCAGTCTCCTGAGTAGCTAGGACTACAGTCACCTGCCACCACACCCAGCTAATTTTTTGTATTTTTGGTAGAGACGGGGTTTCACCGTGTTAGCCAGCATGGTCTCGATCTGACCTTGTGATCCGCCTGCCTCCCAAAGTGCTGGGATTACAGGTGCAAGGCACCGCGTCCAGCTATTTTTTTTTTTTTTTTAGACAGAGTCTCACTCAGTTGCCCAGGCTGGAGTGCAGTGACACGATCTCAGCTTGCTGCAACGTCCACCTCCAGACTTCAAGCGATTCTCCTGCCTCAGCCTCCCAAGTAGCTGGGATTATAGGCGCCTATCACCATGCCCAGCTAATTTTTGTATTTTTACTTAGAAGCGGGGTTTCACCATGTTGACCAGGCTGGTCTCAAAGTCCTGACCTGAGGTGATCTGCCCGCCTCAGCCTCTCAAAGTGCTGGGAAGACAGGCATGAGTCACTATACCCGGCCCTAATTTTTTTATTTTTTTATTTTTTACTTTTATTTTTATTTATATATTTTTTTGACACAGACTTTCACTCTTGTTGCCCAGGCTGGAGTGCAATGGCGTGATCTCAGTTCACCACAAACTCTGCCTCCCGGGTTCAAGCGATTCTCCTGACTCAGCCTCCCAAGTAGCTGGGATTACAGGCATGTGCCACCACTGATGACTAATTTTGTATTTTTAGTAGACACAGGTTTTCTCCATGTTGGTCAGGCTGGTCTCAAACTCCTGATCTCAGGTGGTCTTCCCGCCTTGGCCTCCCAAAGTGCTGAGATTACAGGCGTGAGCCATTATGCCTGGCCAATTTTTTTTATTTTTAATAGAGATGGGGTTTCGCCATGTTGGCCAGGATGGTCTCAAACTCTTGACCTCCAGTGATCCATTCGCCTTGGCCTCCCAAAATGCTGGGATTACAGGTGTGAGCCACCATGCCCAGTCGACAATGTGCTGTTAAGTAAAACACACCCAGCCTGAATTTTCCCTTTTTAAAACTTTTAATTAAAATTTAATACAGCCAGGGACAGTGGCTTATGCCTGTAATCCCAGTAATTTGGGAGGCTGAGGTGGGAGGAATGTTTGGAACTAGGAGTTCAAGACCAGCGTGGGCAACACAGTGAGATCCCCATCTCTACATTTCGCAGAATGTGAAATGGGATGCTTGCTGTGAACACAACTACTTAAAAAGACCTTCTCCTTTCCAGGCATGGAAAGCCTCAGTTCTCTCATGGACCTGGTCAGTTCCCACCCTGCCACCCCCAGCCACACACGCTGTACGAGTCTGAGCAGAGTCTCTCAAACTTACAACAGAGTTCCGAATTACATGAGTTTGACAGGAAGACTAAATGACAGAGTACATAAAAACACTCGGCCAAGAACCCGGCTTTAGTAGGTGTGGAGAAACATTGCTATCACTGCCAGAAACACGATGGAAAGCCAAAGTACCCTAAATGAGTTAGGATGGCCAGATGAGGCTGTGAGAAGCGCTGTCTTTTATTTCTATTTTCAAACTTTTCATAAGATCATTACATTTATGAAGAGAAAAACCAAACAACAAAATACCAAAAACAATACAGCAGCTAAGTGGATAATTTCTTGTCTTAAAAATCTTCCGAGGTGCCAAGAGCGGTGGCTCATGCCTGTAATCCCAGCACTTTGGGAGGCCGAGGTGGGCAAATCTTCTGAGGTCAGGAGTTCGACACCAAGCTAGCCAACATGGTGGAACCCCGTCTCTACTAAAAATATAAAAATTAGCCAGGCATGGTGGCGGGCTGCCTGTAATCCCAGCTACCCAGAGGCTGAGGCAGAAGCCTGCTTGAACAGGAAGGTGGAGGTTGCAGTGTGTGCCAATATCATGCCATGGGGAACCCAAGGTTGGGGAAAAAAAAAGAAGTGGATAATTCCTTGTCTCAAACATCTTCGGCTAGGCGCGGTGGCTCATGCCTGTAATCACAGCACTTTGGAAGGCAGAGGTGGGCGGATCACGAGGTGAGGAGATCGAGACCAACCCGGCTGACACGGTGAAACCCCATCTCTATTAAAAATACAAAAAAGCGGGCGCACATTGGCTCAAGCCTGTAATCCCAGCACTTTGGGAGGCTGAGACGGGCGGATCACGAGGTCAAGAGATCGAGACCATCCTGGCTAACACGGTGAAACCCCGTCTCTACTAAAAATACAAAAAAAAACTAGCCGGGCGGGTGGCGGGCGCCTGTAGTCCCAGCTACTCGGGAGGCTGAGGCAGAGAATGGCATAAACCCGGGAGGCGGAGCTTGCAGTGAGCTGAGATCTGGCACTGCACTCCAGCCCGAAGCTGACGACAGAGCGAGACTCCCGTCTCAAAAAAATACAAAAAAATTAGCAGGGTGTTCGGTGGGCGCCTGTAGTCCCTAGCTACTCAGGGGCTGAGTCAGGAGAATGGGGTGAACCCGGGAGGTGGAGCTTGCAGTGAGCCGAGATCGATGCCACTGCATGGCAGCCTGGGTGACAGAGCAAGACTCCGTCTCAAAAAAAAAAAAAAAAAAACTTCAAGGTGCCTGGTGTGATGGCTCACACCTATAATCCCAGTACTTTGGGAGGCTGAGATGGGTGGATCATTTGAGCTCAGGAATTAGAGATCAGCCTGGGCAACATGGTGAAACCCCATCTCTACAAGAAACAGAAAAATTAGCCAGGCGTGGTGGTGTGTACCTGTAGTCCCAGCTACTCAGGAGGCTGAGGTAGGGTGATCACTTAAGCCTAGGGAGGTGGGGAGGTTGCAGTGAACTGACATCACCACTGCACTCCAGCCTGGAGTGACAGAGACAAGACTCTGTCTCAAATTAAAAGAAAAAAAAATCTTCAGGCTAGGCATGGTGGCTTATGCCCACATAATCTCAACATTTTGGGAGGCGGGGCAGAGAGGTGCTTGAGGCCAGAGTCTGAGACCATCACGACAACACAGCAAGACCCCATCTCTAAAAAAAAAAGAAAGAAATATAGTCCAGAATAGTGCTGTCAATAGAACTCTCTGAGACGACAAGTGCTCCTATGGCCATGGATTAATGGAGTGAAATGTAGAGCACCAGGCTGCCAGAGCCAGGTTGCTCTTCTCCCTTCAGGACAAGGGGAGGGAGCAGAGGGGATACTGAGATGCTCTCTCAGGAAGGTGGCTGGCTGCTCCCCTGTACAGGCTACATCCTTCGTCTTCCAGAACACCTGCCTCAGGAAGCCCTTCCTGACCATGCCCATGGCTGACTCATTTCCCTCCCACACCCTCCAGCAGAAGAACCTGGCTTCCTTCTCCCCAGCAGCGCCCACTTCGAGTGGATGGAGGTGCTGACATTATCTCCAAGCACCCTGCCAGGTAGAAGAGGCCAGGCTAGGCTGCTGGGACACAGGGGCAATTGTGCCACCAGCTCTGCTAGGCCATGTGACCAGGAAATGCCTCTTATAACACTCCATGCCTCATTCTGGGAAGCCAATGAGCTGAGTCTGCACATCCCACAGCTTCACTGCTACATAGGCACATGTTTAGCCACAGCAGGGGCGGGGAGGAGAAGCAACAACTGGGACCCCAAGACTTGCTGTGAGCTGCCGCTTTCCTCACCAGCAGTAGGTGCGCGAAAAAACTTCACGAGCGTGAATTTTTTTTTTTTTTAAAGACAGAGTCTTGCTCTGTCACCCAGGCTGGAGTGCAGTGGCACAATCTTGGCTCACTGCAAGCTCCGCCTCCCAGGTTCACACCATTCTCCTGCCTCAGCCTGCCCAGTAGCTGGGACTATAGGCACCTGCCACCACGCCTGGCTAATTTTTTGTATTATTAGTAGAGATGGGGTTTCACCGTGTAAACCATCATGATCTTGGTCTCCTGACCTTGTGATCTGCCCGCCTCGGCCTCCCAAGTGCTGGGGTTACAAGTGTAGCGAGCTACCACATCCAGCAATTTTTTTTTTTGAACAGGTCTCACTCTGTGGCCCAGGCTGGAGTACAGTGACACAATCTCAGCTTGCTGCAACCTTCACCTCAGACTTCCAAAGGGTTCTCCTGCCTCAACCTCCCAAGTAGCTGGGATTATAGGCACCTATCACCACCCAACTAATTTTGCATTTTAATTGACCGGGGTTTCACCATGTTGGCCAGGCGGTTTCACGGCTCCTGACCTCAAGTGATCTGCCTGCCTCAGCCTCCCAAATTGCTGGGAATACAGGCGTGAGCCACCACGCCCAGCCCTAATTTTTTTATTTTTATATTTACTTTTATTTTTATTTATTTATTTTTGACACAGACTTTCACTCTTGTTGCCGGGCTGGAGGTGTGCCGTGATCTGGTTCCTGCAAACTCTGCCTCCCGGGTTCAAGCAATTCTCCGCCTCAGTCTCCCAAGTAGCT